ACGACACGCATAGATTACGGAGAAAGAATTCTGTCCCATTTCCCCATGGAGATAAGAGGAAATAAACAAGAGCAAGAACTAGTAAGAAAATAAAAGAAAACCCAGAGGGGTGTTTATATATAAGCTTGTACATGCATGTGTAGTGTGACATAAATATAAGTAGAAGCAACAAGATGTACTTGAAATCTTGCATGTTTATGAGAAAAAAAAAAAAAAAAAGACACCAGCAATCCTACCATCAATTACAGGCTGTTTTACACTCACTTGGCAAGATGGTAGTACCCCCCCGGGCAGCTGCTGTCTCCGGCCCCGAGAGACACCCAAACTGTGCGCAAGCGGCCCCAGCCGGCGGAGGGAGTGTCCCAAAGGGCGATCACCAAAAAAAGGCCAAAACCGGGCACCAAAAAAAAACTGGCGTCACTGGTTGGCCATTAACAGAACCCCCCATATTGGGGGGTCTACTGTACACACCCCCATCTAAAATTCCCCAAATTTTCTGAATAGCTTTTTTTTTAATTTCCTTTTTATTTTCCAGGGGAAGTGAAAAATCTTTCAAATACCATTTTTTTACTACCAAATTTTTTAAAAATACCATTTTTTACTTCATACAATTTATTAACATTTTGGGCATTTTTTAATTACATTACTTGTTTAATTACCAAAACCTTTTTAATACCACATTTACTATCTTAGAGCTTCCCTCACTCTTGAAACTTGTACGCCAATTAAGCTTGTTAACTACAGTGCAATACTGAACCCAAAATAATGTTTTAAAATTAGAAATTGAAATAAACATTTTTTTTTTTATTTTATTTTTTTTAATTAATATTTCTTGAATCATTTTTACTTATAAAATTTTTTTTAAAAACCCCTTTTTGCTCTCAACTTTATTTTTGTACATAATCATTATTTTATACTTTTTTTAAACCTTTTGTTCCCAAATTTTCAAGTCTTATATTCACCCCCAACCTTTTATTACCCTTTGTCCACTTATTTCATATTATAACCCAAGTCTTTGCCATTTTTTTTTTTCTTTTTTTATTCTTTGGAACTTTAATTTGTGTATTTTATCTTGTAATTTCAATTAGTTATACTCTTTTTCTTGTTAAAATTTTATATTAGCCCTTAGGTTTTTGAAAGTGGGGAGTCTTGTACCTTTTTAATTTGTATTTTTATTTATTATTTTATACTATTTGACTTTAGCTCATTCTAGCACAAAACAGAAAAATTTCAACTTCTTTATGTTTATTAGTGCTAACTCATATTCAAATTAAATTCAAAGTTTATTCTCTATAAGGAAAAGACCAAAGTGCTTTAGCTATATATTTTACCCAACCCTTCCCACTTACAGAATCAGTATTAGAACTCACTGCAAAATACGGGAATAAAACCACATTTAAACTTAAAAGATAAATGATCACGTTACCCTGACTAAACCTCCAAAATCAAAACACAAATAAAAAAATTTTTGGGAAAGAACTGCCTTTTAACCAGCTCACAAGCCAGCAACCTAAACAAGTAAAAGTCTATCAGTTTTAACTACAACATAGGCCTTAACAAAACACTATGATACCCCCGGACCCCTTTTGTTTTCTTAGCACCTTCTCCTGCTTATCTTACTAAACCCTGGCTTAAACAGGACAATAGATACTCCCCCCTACCAGGAACACAGAAACCCAAAACTGCGACCTACCAATTGGGGGTGGTATTGCAATCTATTTTTAAACCAATATTTTGTATTGCCCCATTATTTTAGTGATGAATATGGGGAAAATACTTTTTTTGCTTTTTTTTCGTAAAAAACCCTTTAAGGCCCAAAAACAATCGGTGCCATTTACTGGATACCCCACAAAAAACATCCCAAATTTCAGTGGAATCAAAAAGAAATAATAAAAAAAAACAAAAAAATAACAAGCACCACCTTTTTTAGCGGAGATTTCAATATCAACTTGGCCTACCAGATGATCCCTGTAACATTTCATCAACAATTGAACAACCACTTTTTCATCCAACAATAACAAAACCCAAACCCAAATTGACTGAGCAAGTGCAACTAAAACCCACAGGCCAATATACTACCCCCTCTTAAATAGGGATAATCACAGCACTCAGACCTCCCTCCCTTCCTCGTAACAAACATTAGTAAGCCCCCACTCGAATACAAAAAAGTTCATTTAGCTCCAGACGAGGCCTCAAAAAGGAATTTCACAGCAGACCTAGAGCGTTGAGGCCAGAGAATTCTCCAATGCCCAAAGGTTTACGATTGGACAGAATTTTTCTTTAAAAAAATACTTAGACTAACAACAAACATTTTCCTATTTAAAAAAAACTAAAAAAACAGACACGAAAAAAACGGCTGGTTGCCCTGGTAAAACCCGCAGCATTCTGAAATCTATTGATAAAAAAACACCCCTAGAAAAAACAATAAGACAGGGCTTAATACACAAAGATTCTTAAACAATATTCATCATTCTCACCAAAAATTTAAAAAAGAAAGCCAAACAATTGTACTACTCCAGCAGATTCATGAACAAAAAGATATAAAAAAGACCCGGAAAAAAACTTTCCAGATTCGGGGACCCACAAACGAAAAAAAACAAGAATATTTGTCCTAAACCAAAACCCAATGAAACACCACGCATCCCCCTGATACAGCTAAAAGATAAACGACTTCTCTCAAACATGGACTGATCTCGCCAGTAAAATCCCATACAACGCCCCTGCCGGGATACTAGATGGGGAAATTTTCCCAAAATTCCTCTATTTGTCCAACTAGCCCACGGGAAAATCACCCCGATTTTAAAGTCAATCAAAAAAACTCAGGAATTTTCTCACTCCCCCCATTATTGTAAAGTGAGTGGCCAAAAGTCCTTTCGCATGCTATTTCATACTTTTAACAAGTCACTAGAAACTAGACTTTCCCCACATACTCAAGACAGCAAGGGTTACACCCAATACATAAAGGTGGGGACCCAAAAGATGTAAACAAATATAGTCAATCAAATTACCATTGCTATCCAAAAACTTTGAAAAACTGTGCAAGGAGACAGTATATTCATTTATAAAAGGCACAAAACAAATTTCAACCCTTGCCAATTTGGCTCGGAAAAATAAAACACTAATGAGCTTTTAAAAATTGTTGCTTTAACGCTTGGAAAAAAAGGAATATCCGTAGGAATTTTTTTTGACCTAAAAAAAGAGTTTGACAGTAGACCCGGCTTCCTACTCACAAACTTTACCATTATGGTATAAGTGGGCCCTGCGCTTTATATTTCAAATCCTACCTTACTTAGGTAAGTAGTACCATTAAAGACACGCCCATCAACACGGCCACTTGTACTGGAGTTTGCAGGGAAGCGTCCTTGGGCCCCGCTTTCCTCATTTACATTTTTTTATCTTCCCAAAAGTTTCCCAAACCTGAAACGCTTCTCTTTGCTGACGACACGATTACGCACCCCCCACCCTAAATTTTCCACCCTCAACACCATTGTCAACGGGAGCTGCTCAAATTTTGAATTGGGTGATAAAATAAATTACACTCACCTGACAAAAATATAATTTTGTTGGTAGCAGGAGGGGTTTCGCAACTTAAAATTAAACGAAACACTTAATTGCCCGACATAAAGAGGGCAAAAAACCTGGTCTTACCCGACAAAACATAAATTTCAGCACCCATATCCAACACATAAAAAAAATATCCAAAACGGTGGGGATGCTCTCCAAGATACAATATGAAGTGCCGCAAACTGCCCTTCTCACACTATACCATTCACTCATTTATCCATACCTCACCTATGCTATTTGTGCTTGGGGATCAACTGCAGCAACACATCTAAAGCCAATAATAACCCAACAAAAAGCCGCAGTAAGAATGATCACTAAATCCCATTCCTGGCAACACACTCCCCCACTCTTCATAGATCTAAACTTACTCCCTGTTCAGAACATCCACACTTACTACTGTGCAATCTACATCTACAGGACCTTAAACTCCAATATTAACCTTGACCTAAAATGCTTTCTTGATAGTTGTGACAGGACCCACAGGCAAAACACCAGACACAAACATCTCTCTGACATTCCCCTTGTCCGACTAAACCTTTACAAAAATTCAGTGTGTGTCAAAGGGCCTAAAATCTGGAACACCCTACCTGAAAACTCTAGAACTGCAGACACATTCATCACTTTCAAAACTACAGTTAGAAAGCATCTCATCTCCCTGATACACCCTGCCAACTAACTACATGTAAACCACCTGGTGGTTCACACTTACACTCACTCACCTATTGACTATAAACACAGAAATACGAATCTTAATCTTAAAATAATGAATCCTAACTAGTCATGTTTGCCTATGATACTCCAATATAGACGCTATGTATTGTGCCAAAACAAAAGCATTCACACTGCTAAACTCACAAACTATAATGTAGTCACTTAGCCTTAATACCATAATCTGTAATAATTTAAAGTTTAGAATTAATCTAAGTCTTCCCGAAATGCCTAGCCATGCTAGGTGTCCTAGTGGCCCCCTCTGTAAATAGTATTTTAAAACATGTAAACCACACAATATTCAAAATCTGTAAGCCCCGCATTGTAATCCTTATAGAGAATAAACTTGATTGATTTCTTCCAAAAACCGTAAGTGTTGTAAAAGGCAACTAAAATGCCAGGAGCAAGGGGCTCGTAACTCCTCCTCCTGTATTGATTACTGAATATAAAAAGATGGCCAGTATGTTGAAAAATCAATAGCATAGTTACACTTATTTCTGACTACAGCACCAACAGACTAACCAAGGCTGCCCTTATACATGAAATTATGGTTACTAAAGTCACCAGTGGATTCCATGTTAGTCTTTAATAAGAAATATAATTTTATTATACAAGAGTTATGAATCTTAATTCACTCATTCAATATATCAACTGAAAACAAAGCAGTAGAAAAAATTAGTCTATCATAAATGTTTAATAACAATATAGTATAAACATATGTCAATGACCTGGTAATCACTGTCCTGGTTCTCAAGCAGCACCTGAGCATACCGCCAGGTGGCATCATTGTCGACAGCAACTGGAGGGTTGGTAATTGTGCTCTGGAGGGCACTCCACACTACCTCCTCGTTCCCTGCCACCAACCTAGGCAAGAGGAACAAGAAATCTTTTAGTTCATATGCTGTAATACAAAAAATGTCCTTCAACAGTTTCCTAGAGGTTACTGGTACAGGCTGAATACCAATTAAGATGGTAATGTTCTTGAAAACAATGTCCAATAAAACAAATTGTCTAAAATGAACAGAAGAACATAAAAAATAGTTACATATATTTAACCCCCAAAAATAGCCAACAAATTTTTTTAGATCTGGAAATTTTATAAAAAAAATAATAAAAATTTAACCACGTGGATGCAGTGTTGTGTTATATTTAATAAAATACTTATAGCTACAAAGATTACATATACAGTAGAACCCACGTATCCACTGATTCAGTATCCATGGTTTTAGTTATCCATGGTTTACTGTGGCCCAAAAATACCTCTTAATTTTATATAATAATGACTCCAAAGTGCAAAAGTAGAAAAGGCTGCAATTCTTCAAAGCCTAAGAGAAGCCGTGAAATGCTTTCCATCAGTGAAAATGTGATAATTCTCCACTTATTGGAGACAATTTATTAATTAAACTGTATAATGGGCAGAAGCTTGTTTCTATCCATGGTTTTGGTGTCCACAGCAGGTCCTTGGAATGTATCCCCAGCAGATATGGGGGTCCTACTGTACAGGAGGGCCCTGTGTATTTGGCACCTTTTCGATGTTCCACATTTTAGTTGGCTTTCAATTTTTGCACTGACTTTGTCAATGGTCCAAGTCGGACCAAAACGTCATCGTAAGCTTCTCTCTTTTATGTGCGGGTTATTTGTGTATTGTGTATCTGCATAACAGTTGCACGAGGGAAAGTCAACCAGCACCAGATCCGTGAATTTATTTTGTGGATTTATTTACTCTGAATTTATTTTGTTTTTATGTGTAACTGTATTGAGCACTTAATATATGAAAGTGTAAACCATTACAGGCATTTTAATACATTCAATAATAAAATAAGGTCATTTTCCCCACCCATGTTTTTTCACTTACCATAGGGGGGGTGGGGAACCAAGAGCCATACTATGGGGCCCCCCTTAAAAGGGGTGAGGAATGATGTGGCCTACTGACTGAGGTTGATGGTTGTGAATTTTTTGATAAGGTGGAAAGTTATGGATCATAAGGAGGGGAGGGTTTTAGGATCTTTGCATGATTTGAATTGCCCGGGGATACTGAGAATTCCTGTAAGTCTAACTTATCTACAGTACTTTATACAGCTGACAGAAAGGCTCATAATGCTTGGGGACCCTGTTTCAGGCAGTGTTCTATATTTGTCAAGTCCCTTCTGTGAAAAGTCTGCTATTTTAGCAATGGGAATGCTTACAAATTTTTGCAATTTTAAACTTTTTTTTCGGTTCTTCTTTCTCATCTTTGTGTTATCTGTCTCCCTTAAATTTAAAAAGTGAAGAGAACTTAAATGCAAGGGGTTCTTGCGTGCAGGCTAACGACTTCAGGAATAAACTGATGCAAAAACGGCAATAAATAACTCGTGAAATCATAGTGACACGAATGCAAACAAACCATACCAGGGGGGGGATGAACCTACAGTCAGTCGTAAAAATCCAACGCGCATTATTACCGGGGCCCGTGGCTCAATAAGATTTTGATTGGCATTTTGTTGCCTTTACGACAAATGGCCCAGAGGAAAAATTCTGTTTTACTTCCCCATGGAGTGAGGGAAAAAAACAAGAACAAAAACTAGTAATAGAAGAAAACCAGAGGGGTGGTGCATTTATGCTTGTCAGCAGGTAATGTGACCAAAGTATAAGTACAGTAGCAAGACATACCTGAAATCTTGCTGTTTTTGAGACAGAAAAAGACACCACAATCCTACCATCATGTAAAACAATTACAGGGTTCGCTTTAACTCGCATGGCAGGGGCAGTATTTCCTTCCCGGGGATTTGCTGTCTGCCAACCTCTACTGGATAACTTATAAGTAATTTTAAATTTTTACCTCAGTAGCCATTTTTCCCTTTCCAAGGCAGGGTGATCAAAAGATAACACACTGAGTCATTCATTCAATATGTCTTTCCAAAAAATGTCCTGACATCCAAATTCAGATTACCCTCTGACTGCAACATCCCCACCCCTCTTTCAGTGAAGACACTGCCCTTTCCACCTCCAGGATTCAAGTCCAGCTAACCAATTTTGTTGTTGAAGCATAAATATACAATCATGCTTACCGAGTTATGACTGACTTGGTTAATTAGGGATCAGTCATCTACCAAGAACAATGGCAGCTGGACCACACACTCTCAAACATGGTGGGCCCTTCCTCAACAATGAGCTGTAAATCACAAGTACAGTGGACACTTACCAGTATGAGTCCTTGTTAACATCTGGTCCCTGGATCTATTACTAGTATAAAAAATCTTCTGTTCATGTGCACTGGCTCAGTAGGCTTGACATGGCAGGTGAACACAATGTGTGGATATGATACTGACAAGGTCCAGAACTTAATGACTTTAACTAGCCCTATTATTAACACCTTTATGCTTCAAACACATCCCTACTTGCCTTGCACAAATTATGGATTGCTATCTGGAGAGCTTTACCTGCTCTCCAGGTGTGAATATTGTCTATCTGAGGCCCTCTGGTGCCGTGGGTTTCGTGTTGACATCAAGACAGGATGTCAAACAACTTGCGTCCTACTTAATAATATAAACTGTCACTGTATTTGAATGTCATTATATGATAACAGTCAATGCTCAGTATACATGCTGGTGATGCCCTATACCACAGGAGCAGATTCAAGAAATTCCACAAATTTTTTTTTTTTCCAACAAGTCGGCCGTCTCCCACCGAGGCAGGGTGACCCAAAAATGAAAGAAAATCCCCAAAAAGAAAATACATTCATCATCATTCAACACTTTCACCACACTCACACATTATCACTGCTTTTGCAGAGGTGCTCAGAATACAACAGTTTAGAAGCATATACGTATAAAGATACACAACGTATCCCTAAAAACTGCCAATATCCCAAACCCCTCCTTTAAAGTGCAGGCATTGTACTTCCCATTTCCAGGGCTCAAGTCCGACTATATGAAAATAACCAGTTTCCCTGAATCCCTTCACTAAATATTACCCTGCTCACACTCCAACAGATCGTCAGGTCCCAAGTATCATTCGTCTCCATTCACTCCTATCTAACACGCTCATGCACGCTTGCTGGAAATCCAAGCCCCTCGCCCACAAAACCTCCTTTACCCCCTCTTTCCAACCCTTTCGAGGACGACCCCTACCCCTTCTTCCTTCCCCTATAGATTTATATGCTTTCCATGTCATTCTACTTTGATCCATTCTCTCTAAATGACCAAACCACCTCAACAACCCCTCTTCTGCCCTCTGACTAATGCTTTTATTAACTCCACACCTTCTCCTAATTTCCACACTCCGAATTTTCTGCTAATATTTACACCACACACTGCCCTTAGACAGGACATCTCCACTGCCTCCAACCGTCTCCTCGCTGCTGCATTTACCACCCCAAGCTCACACCCATATAAGAGTGTTGGTTCTACTATACTTTCATACATTCCCTTCTTTGCCTCCATAGATAACGTTTTTTGACTCCACATATACCTCAACGCACCACTCGCCTTTTTTCCCTCATCAATTCTATGATTAACCTCATCCTTCATAAATCATCCGCCGACACGTCAACTCCACAGTATCTGAAAACATTCACTTCTTCCATACTCTCCTCCCCAATTTGATATCCAATTTTTCTTTATCTAAATCATTTGATACCCTCATCACCTTATTCTTTTCTATGTTCACTTTCAACTTTCTACCTTGACACACATTCTCAAACTCATCCACTAGCCTTTGTAATTTTTCTTTAGAATCTCCCATAAGCACAGTATCATCAGCAAAAAGTAACTGTCAATTCCCATTTTGAATTTGATTCCTCATAATTTAATCCTACCCCTCTCCCGAACACCCTAGCATTTACTTCTTTTACAACCCCATCTATAAATATATTAAACAATCATGGTGACATTACACATCCCTGTGTAAGACCTACTTTTACCCGGAAGTATTCTCCCTCTCTTCTACACACCCTAACCTGAGCCTCACTATCCTCATAAAAGCTCTTTACAGCATTTAGTAACTTACCACCTATTCCATATACTTGCAACATCTGCCACATTGCTCCTCTATCCACTATCATTTTTTTTTTTTTTTTCCAACAAGTCGGCCATCTCCCACCGAGGCAGGGTGACCCAAAAAAAGAAAGAAAATCCCCAAAAAGAAAATACTTTCATCATCATTCAACACTTTCACCACACTCGCACATTATCACTGTTTTTGCAGAGGTCCTCAGAATACAACAGTTTAGAAGCATACACATATAAAGATACACAACATATCCTTCCAAACTGCCAATATCATATGCCTTTTCTAAATCCATAAATGCAATAAAAACTTCCCTACCTTTATCTAAATACTGTTCACATATATGCTTCAATGTAAACACTTGATCTACACATCCCCTACCCACTCTGAAGCCTCCCTGCTCATCCGCAATCCTACATTCTGTCTTACCTCTAATTCTTTCAATTATAACCCTACCATATACTTTTCCTGGTATACTCAGTAAACTTATTCCTCTATAACTTTTACATTCTCTTTGTCCCTTTCCCTTTATATAAAGGGACTATACATGCTCTCTGCCAATCCCTAGGTACCTTCCCCTCTTTCATACATTTATTAAATAAAAGTACCAACCACTCCAACACTATATCCCCCCCTGCTTTTAACATTTCTGTCATGATCCCATCAGTTCCAGCTGCTTTACTCCCTTTCATTCTACGTAATGCCTCACGTACCTCCACCACACTTACATTCTGCTCTTCTTCACTCCTAAAAGATGGTATACCTCCCTGGCCAGTGCATGAAATTACCGCCTCCCTTTCTTCCTCAACATTTAAAAGTTCCTCAAAATATTCTCGCCATCTACCTAATATCTCCCTCTCCCCATCTACTAACTCCCCTACTCTGTTTTTAACTGACAAATCCATACTTTCCCTAGGCTTTCTTAACTTGTTTAACTCACTCCAAAATTTTTTCCACAATTATGAGTATTTATTTAAAGACCCAGAGCAACTATTAGAGCACATGATAAACAGAGGTGCTGAAGTCTTTTGCTAACAAGCTCAGGGGGATGCAACTATTAAATAAGAAGTAACATGGTGTGCCATTTTACAACACACAGCTTACGGGAAAGAATTCTCACCACTATTCCATTGTACACCTTATAAAAGTGCTTAGTGATATGCTTAGCTTGATTACTATCCAAAGGGGTCAAATGCTACCTTTGAAATGGGAGGCAATCAGAGATATGTATCTTAATTCCCTTGATCAAGAGCTCTTTATTGGTATTAAGGCAACTCCTCCCTTCTAGAGGGGATATAGGCAGCAACCCACCAGATGAAAGACAACTTGGCTGAAATTACCCACCTGATGAGAGACAACTTGGCTGAATGATCGGGATAGATCTCAGAGAACCAAAATGTAAGGCAGAACGTCTGATTCTGAGGGAGGAGAGAACTCTTGAGGCGACTTGTGTGTTGTGTGTTGAAGGACTCGAGGTAACCAAAACCACCTGGTAAGGAGATGTTTAATATAATAAAAATAAAAATAAAAATAATAATTATAATTATTATTTTTATTATTAACAGCCATCTTCCACCAAGGCAGGGACCCCAGGAATTAAACAGTCACTCAATTGCCGTCTTTCCAAAAGTGTGCTGACTATCACAATCAGATTACCCGTTCAACTGCAACATCCCCACCCCTCCAGAGTGCAGGCAGACACTACTCTTCCCACCTCCAGAACTCAAGTCTGGCTAACAGGTTGCCTGCCCTAAATCCCTTCATAAAGTTACCTTGCTCACACTCCAACAGAACCACTATTAAAAACCATGTCCCAATTCATACCTATTCAATGTGCTCACATAAGCCTGCTGGATGCTCAAGCCCCTAAAACTTAAAGCTCTTGTACCTCCTCCCTCCAATTATTCCTGGGACAACCCCTCTCCCTTCTACCTTCCACCCCAGATTTTATACACCCTCTTCTTTAACCTATTCCTATACATCCTCTCTACATGCCCAAACCACCTTAATAGCCCTTACTCAGCTCTCCGAATTATGCAGTTTGTCATCCCACACTGCTTTTAAATTAATCTCTGAATTCTCTGCATGATATTCACACAACATGTTGCTCTCAAACAAGACATCTCCACTGCCTCTAGCCTCTTTGCTGCAGCATTCAAAATTCATGCCTCACAACCATATAAAAGTGTTGGTACCACAATACTCTGGTACATTCCATCTTTTTGCCTCCATAGATAAACTTCTCTTTCCACACATTGACACACTACCCACCTTTTTTCCCTTATTTATTTTATGGTTCACATCAAGTTTCACAGACCCATCTGCTGACATGGCTGCTCCCAAATATCTAAATGCATCCACTTATATACTCCTCCTTCAACAAATAATCTAACTGCCTAGACTTTTTTTTTGTTACTCACTCTTTTCACTCTTTTCCTTCTTTTGCATACCCCCCCAAAATTTCATCCCCAAACCTTGTAATTTGCCTTAAAATTTTTCCTATAAAGAACTGCGCCATTAGTAAACAGAAACTGGGATAACTCCCACTTTGTAGCAAATCCAACGTTTTTCAATCCCACACCCCTTCCAACACCCTACATGGGAACAAAAAAGAAGGAACACTGCAACAGCCTACTGACCTATGGGGAGCAGGTCCATGCCCCCCCCCCCAGATTAGCCCAATGCCCCCCCCTTCTGGTCACCAAACTAAAACGGGGAGCACTGCACCAGCCCCAGCACAAATTTAGTCAGTCCACTCACACCCACCCACACCCCTCATGTATTATCTAACCTTTTTTAAAAAACTACACAACTTTTTTACCCTGAATAACGTACTGGGGATTTGTTTTCCCCTCATCCACAACTCTATTACCAAACCAGTCTTTCCTAACCTTCCGAATCTGAATTTTTCCAATTGAAACCATTGCTGCGACCTGCTTGGGTGGGAAAATTTTTAGCACGCTATTTACATCCCCTTTATTTATTCCTGTTTTCCCCTTTATTTCACCTCACAATCCCCCCCAATTTTACCCTTTTAGAGGTGAGATTCAGGCCCTCAGTCTATCCTCACAGGGAAGATTTCTGATAATGGGTCATCTTTGTTTATCCTCCCCCTGTATGTTTTTTCCCGAGCATTTATATCCATCCTGAAAAACGGTGACCAGAAATGAGCAGCATAGTCTAAATGAGGGGCCCAACCAAAGGGTATATAAGTAAGAAACAACCCAGGCCTTTTATTTTTATACTTCTAGTTTTTGAACAATGTGTGTGTGAATTAATCAGAGAAATTTGTAGTTTGGAAGTTTGGGGGAGGGCGGGATTTTCCAAAAATGTTTCCAAAGGGGTGAGGGAAGGGTTTTGAGGGGGTTCGGACATGTAGAGGAATGGGCGAAAAAGTTTTTCAAAGTGTATCAGTCTGTAGGGGAAAGGGAAGCGGGTAGGGGTCGCCTAGGGGAAAGGGTTGGAGGGAGGGGGGAAAGGAGGTTTTTTGTGCGAGGGGCTTGGGACTTCCAGCGGGCATCTTGACGTTTTTGATAGGATGAATGGGACAAAGGGTTTTTAAATACTTGACGTGCTTTTGGGAGTGTGAGCAAAGTAACTTTTATAAAGGGGTTCAGGGAAACCCGGGCGGGCAGGATTTTAGTCCGGAGAGGGAATACATGCCTGCACTCTGAAGGGGGTTTTAATGTTCTTTTAAAAACTGTAGTGTAAAGCACCCTTCGGGCAAGACATGAGGGATGAAAGGGTAAAAGTTTTTTTTTTGGGGCCACCCTCCCTTGGGGGAACCCGGGGTTGTAAAAAAAAAAAAAAAAAATAAAAAATTATAAACCAAAGAATTCTTTTAGCTTTTTTGTGAACAAAAAGCACTGTTGTCTTGTTTTAGATTACTGCAACCAAACTCCAAATTCCTTTTCGCAATCAGAGTATTAAATCTATATTTAGTTTATATGGGGCATGGTTTTTAAATCCCACACCCCTTCCAACACCCTCCCACTGACTTTTTTCAAAACCCTATCTGTAAATATGTTAAATAACCGGTAAAAATCACTCGTCCTAGTCAACCCTACTTTCACTGAAACATTCGTTTCCACCTACTTCACTCTTACAAGACAAAAAGGGCAAATCTCCCAAACAAGAGGAAACAATGCCCCTTTTTTTTCCTCTCAATCTATTTGGTACACCACCCAAGAATTTTGGACCCCCTACCCCCCGCTCAAAAGTGGGTCCCTGGGGATTTTGTCCCCTGTCCCCAACTGCCATTTGTCAATGGAAAAAAAGGGTCGGGTTTGGGTTTTTCTGCAATTCCCCAGGTGCACAGGTCATGGGGGTGGTCACTCCCTGCATGTAGCTAGAGTGGGCTTCACTAAAATTTTCGTGTTAATTGTGAACCAGACACTTGGAGAGTAATTACAAAGATACAAAAATTACAATTTGTAAAATGGTTTTAATTTTTTCTAATATCTTATGTTAAAAAAAAAAAAAAAACACACAAACACCACACGGTAATTGCTTTTTCTTGGACTGTAAGAAGGCGTTTGACACAGTCCACACAAGAGTTAGTGTGAAAGCTGGGGGACCAGCGGGGATAACAGGGGGGGGCAGGGAATATCGTCAAAAAAGACAACAAAAGGGCATGGTATGTGGCAAGGGTCGGGGGGGGGGGCGCATAGAAAACGGGGTTCCACAGGGGTCACCTAGACGGTAATTTTCCGGGTTTTTTGTGATGACAGACAGAAGAATAGATTCAGGGGTGCCCCTGTTTGCGATAGTGAAGCTGATGAAAAGAATTAAATGGGACAAAGACCCCAGAACACACAGGGATCTGGTCCAGAAAGGGGATTTTGGAGTTCAACCCCACCAAGTGCAAATCATGAAACGGGGGGAAGGGCAAAGGAGACAGCAGATGGATACACCCCTGGGGCCAGAGCTACAAACCTCATCAAAAAACTATTTTGGGGTGAGTATAACACCGGGCATATCCCCTGAGGCCACATCAAAAAAAATTTAACTGCTGCAGCATACGGGCACCTAGTAAACCTAAGAACACTTTCCCAACATCTTAAATAAGGACTCATTCTACACTTACACTGTGTACCTTGGGCCATATTGGAGTATGCAGACCATTGGAACCCACACCTACCCAAGCACGTAAGGAAACCAGAGAAAGTGCAAATTTTGCAACAAGACATCCCAGAACTGGGGGGTGGTCCTAAAAGGGAAGGTTAAAGAAATCGACCCACAACACAGGACGGGAGAAGAAGGGGGATATAAAAACACATTAAAATACTGAAGGAATCGACAATGAACAAGACAGGTTTCCAACAGGGGACACACAAAAAGGGAGTCAAGGGGGAAGCTGAAGACTCAATGAATCACAGGGTTAGGAACCATGATTTTCTTCAGTCACAAGTTGTCAGGAAGGGAATATCGGGAAGTAATGTACGGGAAGAGGTCCAACATAGCTTTAAAAAGAGGCATATAAAGTAATGGGCGGGAAAGTGCCCAGTACGACCATAAAGGAGGGCCAATTATGAATTGACCCCTGCAACCACAATTAGGCGATAACACAAAACAGACCACAAGCCGGGAGCGGACTTGCCCCAACCCCCCCCCTCCCCCAACACTACTAAATTTCATTCTCAAAAAAGCAAGGGTAAGAAACGAAACGGGGTGAATAAATAAAGGGGGGCCATGAAAAAACAAGGAGAGCAAAAAAAAAAACAGGCCGTAACATGCTCCGGGTACCCTATACAAAATTTCCACACAAGTTTCTTGCTTTAAAAACAGAGTTAGACCCATAAGGTATTGGGGACCTTCATCCAACATACAAAAATTGAGAATGACCGACTCACTTTGGGCAGTTAGGGGGAAGAAAGCGATGTCTCAATGCCGACATGCCCATCCCCTTTTGGCCCCGGATACCCCCTATGGCCACCGTACAGATAAGCTGCTGGTATACTCCCTGGGGATTTTTGGAATAGTGGAAAATTGGTGGGGGAGTACCACATTTGATAAAACTTCTGATAAATTATTACTTTAAAGGGGGAAAGGAATTAAACACTACGGGTCTACAGTGCCTGAGGTATTGGAGACAATGGGAATCAACCAAAGGGAAAGGGGCATCAAATGAGCTGCTGGCGCATCTGTATTACCACTCAAACAATTGTTCTTTTGTGATTCATGTATGACTTTCACGTAAATCCCTTCCCAAAGATTATGCAAATACCTATAGAATTGCCCTTCAAAATAAAAAACCCCTTTTTTTGTGTTGAAATTAACTGTAAATTAATTTGTATAATTTAAAAATATTATATGCAGGGAAAAAGGTAGTAGGGTTGGGAGCACAACGCCCAGGGGGGTACTACTGTCCTGCCAAGTGATGTAAAATGGAAACCTTTTTGCTTTTCAAGAAGGACTGCCCTTCTTTTTTTTTTGTCCTCATGCTTTTTTCAGGGACATCTTGCTGCTTCTACTACACTTATGTTTATAAAATTTCCTAAAAAAAGGGATTCCATTATCACTATTCGTTTCTTTAAGACTCGTTATATTCAATCCTAAAGTAAGGAAAGTAGTGTGGTATTTACCTTCTTATAACTC